CCAAATGGGGTCTTGCTCTAGTTTAAGCTGGTCTCGAACTCCTGAGCTCAGGCAATCTACCCACCTTAGCCTCCCAGAGTGCTAGGATTACAGGCGGGAGCCACAGCGCCTGGCCCCACAAAATGATAGTTCATGCTTGGCCAATGACAGGCCCCATAGATGACAGTGGTCCTATAAGATTAAAGTACCGTATTTTTACTGTACTATGTCTGAATATGTTTAGATACACATAATGCTTACTATATTATGTTACAGATGGCTGCAGTATCCAGGACAGACACATGCTGTGCAGCTTTGTTGGCTAAGAGCAAAAGGCCATTCCACATAGCCTAGGTGTGTAGAAGGCTGTACCATCTACGTTTGTGTAAATGCACCCTGCAATGTTTGTGCCAGGGTGAAATCACCTAGGATGGATCTCTTAGATCCTATCCCTATTATTAAGTGACTCATGACTGGAGTTATAAATCTTAACCTTGAGATAAAAATAGTTTGAGGACCCATTCCACTGCTTTAGGAGTGTAGTTTTTTGTTTTTTTTAAGTTAAGCATGAGAGTATCAGTTGAAGACAAAGATACTCATGGTGGAATATGGGAAATCATTACTTTGGTAGCTCCACTCGTTTGGCTAGCCGTTTCCCAATTTAGAAATTTCAGTTTGTGCTGCACATGTATTCTCTTGCTTCTGTTTCCTCACTTATAAAATGAAAATACTTTCTCTGGAAGCAGAATCTGAGAAAGAGAAGAAATCAACAACAAAAATTAGATTATAGAGCCATAAGCCTTTTTGCACTCATGAATGTACATGACTTAATTTTTAATAAGATGCTGGTCTATGATTGAGCTCAGATGAAGTAAAGAGAAAGACAGACAGAGAAGGTGGGCCTGAACGAGGAACACAGGGTGTTCAGACATGGTCATCGTATTCCAGGACCTGATCCTTGAATTTGAAATGCCAGAAATCATGTTCTTTTTTTCCAGCATACAGAATGCAATGTAGCTCTTGAGAACTGATTTATACTAATACAAATCACAAAAAAATAAATTTAGAAAATAAAATGTGAACCTCCTGTCATTAGATTTATCACACCACACTTCTATGGAAAACTGTACATGGGAACCCAAGCAAGGCTGCTTTGTGAGAATGTAATGTGAGATGTGCCAGTGTCCCTTGAGGCCGGTATCCTTTAACTATTAACTATGAAATGCTGATCTATACATCGATGAGAACATTGGTGGTCTTGAGTAAGAAGCAGTCCTGGAGACATTTCTGAACTCTGTGGGGACCATTTCCCTCCCGTTCCTATATTGTTTCTTTAGACTAGCTATAACACAGGCTGTGGCTTTACACACACTAATCCTCTAAGCATTGGGATTCCTGCTGGCTCAGTCACTTTAGTGAGCCAGACTGTTTATTCATGCATACATTTTGCATATCCTGTGATCTGTTCCTGTAAGGACCTTCCCATCCTCACACCATCTCTCCTTCTCCATCTGTCAAACTCCTGTATTTCTTCTTCCACAAGCCACTCAAGTATCTTTCCTCTGTGACGTCTTTTGTTCTTTATCCCATTCTCGTTGTATCTGGCCCATCTTCTATAATAGCACTTTTTCCACTGTATTAAATTGTTTAGTTCTCTCTCCCTGTCAGATCTTGAATTTCTTAGAAGAATGTTTTATCTCATAGAATTTCTTAGGGGAATGTTCTGTCTCACAGTTTAGATACTTGGGATACAAGCGATTCCATAGTAGTTTATTAAATGAAGAAATGAGTGAGTGAATGAGTAGGGCTCTATCTTCTTATGACTGCCGTCTCAGCACTCTCCTCAGCACTCACGACCTCATTCTAGCCAGGAATGAAAAGTTCTCTGCTTGGGTACATTGAATTTACAATCAATAATTAACTCTAAATTGAATTTATAATTGAATTTTATAATGCCACTACAATCATGGGCATTCAAAGTGCTGACTTCCCCGATGCGTGTCATAACCACAGTATTTAATTTCATCCTATACCTATTACGTGACATGGAAGAGACAAGTAGTACGGGTTGAAAATTCTGTGGAATAACTTTAATTAAATATGTAAAAGAGCCTGACAAAACAGTTTAAAATAAGCTTGAGTTCAGGACCGAGGCAGAGTATTCATTCAGAATTAAGTTTGGTAGTTTCATACCAAAGCAAGCCAGTGACAGCAGAGTTGCTGGGGAATCAGGCAAACTACTCTTTCCCACTGCTTCCCAGACCTTTTCACTCAGGATGAAAAGGATGAGTGGATGAGGTTTCTGGCTGTTGCAGGCTGGTGGCCCAGGGGCTCTGGCTGCCCCGGCTCCCCCTGGCTGTGCTGAGAGGTAAGGACATCAAGATCTCTGGACATCCATAACCCCTCTGGGTAACTCTGAAGTTTCACGAAGGGAAGCAGAATGTAACCACAAGGACTTACAGTCCTGGTCCTCAGCCAACCTTGTCAACCAAGAAGGCCATGAGTAAGAACGGTATGTGCTATTTAAGTTTCAGGCCTAGGATTGTGTAAACCAGTGATTTCAGCCCTGGATACCTACTGGAGTCACGCGGCAGCTCTTAAAACGTGGAAACACAGCAATGCCCAGAGGCTACCTTGGTACAATTAAATCTGAATCCATGTGGAGCAGAATAAGGGTGGTATCAATATTTTTGGAAAACTCCCCACAGATGATTTTAAGTGTTCCAGAGTTTAAAACCACTGGTATAATCAGTGACTGATTTAAAAAAAAAGATCAGTAAGGCACCTAAATACTCAGTATTTTTTTAAGTGCCTTAATTTAATACTTACACTCAGTGGTTTTAATGTCGAGAGTTTTTTATTTTTATTGTTGTCAGGAGGTCATACACCAGTCCATAGTTTGAGTTTATCTCAGATTGTAACCCTATTCTCAGAGGAAATAGCCTTGGAGTTTTAATCTTGAACTCCATGTTTATGAAGTGCTGGCAAACATGACTGCTGAAGGGATCAGGAATGGGAAGGGGATGCGATGAACTAAGCTTTGAGAAAAGCCTTTGAATGTGCAGAAGAGGTGGAGTATGATGGGGGTGGGTAAGCTTTCTAGATGGAGGCACGGGATAAGCACAGGTGCGGAGGAGGTAGAAGAAAATTCCAGACAAGAGTGCTGAGTGTAAGACGGGGCCCAATGCAAGTGAGGGCTGCCAAAGCCGGCCGTCTCAGAGAACAGCTGAAGGAGACAGCCTTTCCAGCACCCCTACAACTGAAAATGACCACGGCCAGGCTCCTTCGACCTCTAGCCCAAGGACTGCATGGAAGGCCTATTACCAATAACTACCTGTCAGGCACTTTCCCTGGGCATGTCATATGAATTAATTACTTTAATTCTCACAGCAACCCCATGAGATAGTTTCTATTATTATTCCTGATGAGGAAAGTGAAGCACAGAAGGCTGACATGTTGTATGATCTCTGTATGTTCAACAACCTTTTCCCCCTTTATCATGAGTCAGAGTGCTCATGATGCCGTTTACTGGACTACAGATTATGTAATTAAAGGAGAAATTTACCATGTAGGGGTAGGGTGGAGGGAGATACTTGGAAATATCAGAGATATTTCAGATAGGATCAGAGAGCTAAGGATTTTGACCCCCCTACCCCACCTCACCACAGGTATGAGGGATTTACTGAGATTTTCAAGCAGGAAGTGGCATGTTGAAATGTTTAGTAAAGGTAGCCTGGGAAGGGGAGCGGGATGGGTCGAGTGTGGGGAAGGGCAAGAGGTGACGGTGATGCCAGCTGGCCAGGGAGGAGGCTGATGGCAGTGGTCTAGAAGGGAAGTGATGGCGCTAAGCCAGGTGAGGCGGTAGCGGTGGGAACAGAGAGAGCACAGATGCAAGGGACGATGAGCCTGAGGGGATCAGGGAGGCAAGCCTGAGGAGGGAAAGTGATGAACTTAACTTCAGCTTTTCTGAGTTTGTGGGATATTGCATCATTCCAGTGGGATGCATCCCTGTACTTGGTATCCTCCAGTTTTTAAACTTTATTTGATATATATTCCTCTTCTCGATGTGGATAGAAATATTGATGTCTACATATGTATATATTTTCAGACACAGTCTCACTTGTCACCCTCAGTAGAGTGCCACGGCATCACAGCTCACAGAAACCTCAAACTCTTGGGCTCCAGCAATTCTCTTGCCTCAGCCTCCTGAGTAGTTGGGACTACAGGCACCACCACAGGCCTGACTATTTTTAGAGATGAGATCTCACTCTGGCTCAGACTGCTCTGGAACTCCTGAGCTCAGGCAATCCACCTGCCTTGGCCTCCCAGAGTACTAGAAATACAGGTGTAAGCCATTGCACCTGGCCTGATGTGTATATTTTATTTTATTTTTTATTTAAGGCAAACATGAAACAAAGTTTATTGAAGAAGGGAAAGATAAGCTTTTTTAAATTAAAATTTTAACTAATTTATTCATTTTTTTTGGTCTTTGTTGGGCATTCCTAAAAGAGAAAGATAGGCTTACAGAGTAAGAAAGCTTACAAAGCAGAATATATTTGCCATAGACAGAGAACAAGGTCTCCTTTGCCAGGGCAAGTAGGCAAAGGGGTCTATGTCTATGTTTTAATTTTTTTTCGAGACAGAGTTCTACTTTGTTACCCTCGATAGAGTGCCATGGCATCATAGCTCACAGCCACCTCAAACTCTTGGGCTCAAGCAATCCTCTTGCCTCAGCCTCCTGAGTAGCTGAGACTACAGGTGCCTACCACAACACCTGGCTAGTTTTAGAGACAGGATCTTGCTCTTGCTCAGGCTGGTCTCCAACTCTTAAGCTCAAGCCATCCAACCACTTCCCAGAGTGCTAGGAATACAGGTGTGAACCACTGTGCTCAGCCTATATGTCTATGTTTTAACTTCACATTAATCTTTTACCTGGTAAAAACTTATTTACTTATTATGATAATAATTAATATTATGCTATTATTATAATATGTAATTATTAATATTATTATTTACTCTAGGTTATCAGATCAGGATGAAGAGGGCAAGACCACGCAGGAGTGTATCATTTCTGACCCCTCCTTTTCCATGGTGACAGTTCAACGGGAAGATAGTGGAATAACCTGGGAGACTAATTCAAATAGATCTACTCCCTGGGCCTCAGAAGAAAGTCAGACTTCTGGTGTGTGCAGTCCAGAAGGGTCGACTGTGAGTTCTCCTCCAGGAAATGTGTCCTTTATTGTGGATGAAGTTAAAAAGGCACCGAAAAGAACTCATAAGGCAAAGCGTGGCTCACCATCATTACGTCGGAAAGGCAACAAAAAAAGAAATTCTTCTGAATCCCAAGATGCTCCAGCAAACAAGAAGGACAATCCTTTAATTTCAGAAAGCCAGGCGCTAAACATTGAGAAAGAGAAGTCATATACTGGCGTGCATGATAAAACAAGGAAAAAGAAGACCACGTCAAATACACCCCCTATTACTGGGGCCATATACAAAGAACACAAGCCATTGGTGTTAAGGCCAGTCTACATAGGGACAGTACAGTATAAAATTAAGATGTTTAATTCGGTTAAAGAAGAATTAATTCCGCTACAGTTTTATGGAACATTGCCAAAGGGTTACGTGATTAAAGAAATACATTATAGGAAAGGGAAAGAAGCATCTATTAGTTTAGAGCCAGATTTGGGCAATTATGATTCTAAGACAGTTTCCAAACCAGGCAAATTAGGAGCCCGAAGCATAGAAGAAGAGAAATTAAAAGAGCTTGCTCCACCCTGGAGAGAGGCACTCTCTAAAGGATCAAAGTCCCTGTCCTCATTATTCAGTCATGAAAGTCAAAAGAAAACTGACGCTGATTCCCCCCTAAATGCCACATCTGCATCAGAGCACACAGTTTCCTCTTACTCAAGTAATGACACGGAAGAACTAGAACCCCAGCTCAGGCCTCCACGGCCAGAGAGTGAAGCAAAACCCCACGAAATGGAGCCTTCCTCTCTGTCACCTGCTGCACCTCCAAGGGTGTTCCTGAAAACAGCAAAGGAAGAGTCTGAGGCCGCTTCACAAGGAGCCACCACTCCAGCGACAGGCTCTTTAGTTGATGGGGGAAAGCAGGAAGAAGGGCGTTCTGCCCACCTGGCCACGCCACTGGAGGCAGAGCAGGACTTTCTGGAGACAGGTTCGCCAGGTCTGGCAGCATCGACTCAGGAAGGTTTTGGCCCAGACAAAGAACAGCTGGACCTGCCTTCACTAGAAAGAGCAGAACCAGTCTCTGACCAGCTGCTGCCTCCTCATCCCAGTGTCAAAGGAGAGACAGAGGGAAGTGTGCCTGAGCCCCCTGAACCTCTAGTGTCAGGAGAACCCGAGAGAGAAGTAGAAACTGCCCTCCCCGTGGCTGCTGCTGCTGAACCTGCAGGCTCTGAGTTAGCAGAAGAGATCATAGAACTTGACGACGCGGGAAGTCTGTTAGTTTCTGAGAAGCCCTTCCTACCGACTTTGTCCCCTGAAGTGGCACACAAAGAAGAGGAACCTGTCCCACCACTACTGACAGCATCCACCCCCGCACGTGTCCCTCCACCCGAGGAAGAGAGAGAGGAAAATGAATCTGTTTCCCCTGATTCCGCTTTTGTGTCGGAGTGTTCAGGAGCACCGGGGTCAAACTATGAACTAGAAGAGCAAGAAACTGAGCCCGTTTCTCCACCAAAAGTAAAAACCATGACTGAACATGTGGTTTTGTCAGAAGAAGAGAAAGAGGAATTGAAGCCCCATTCCCCAGCTGTGCTCTCTGCATCTGAACGCTCTCTGTCACCATCCACAGCTGAGAAGACTTCAGAGCGCCAGTCTCCACTATTTTCATCAGTTACCCCAGAGCATGTGGTCCTCTCAGGAGATGAGACCTCAGAAAGTGGGCGTTACACCCCAGATTCCACATCTGCTTCTGAACATTCAGTCCCATCACAGGCAACAGAAGAGTCGCTGAAGAAAACCACTGACCATAAAATGCCACTAAAACCAAAAGGTGTTTCTGAGCCCATGGTACTGTCAGAAGAAGAGAAGGAAGACATTGGATCACAGTCTCCAGCTGTGGGCTCTCAGTCTGAACGCTCTCTGTCACCATCCGCAGCTGAGAAGACTTCAGAGTGCCAGTCTCCGCTGTTTTCATCAGTTACCCCAGAGCATGTGGTTCTCTCTGGAGAGGAGACCTCAGAAAGTGGGCGT